AAATACCTATAGTTTTTCAGGAATATAAAACACACGGCTATTATAACTGAACTGTGTTACCTGCATCTATAATGGAAGGAAATACCAAATTCAGGTAAAACTTACTGAAAAAATTCCTCTTTATGAAGATGAGTGGATTTTTTTTTTACTTGAGTGTATAAAACCCACTAGATGGGGGCCGGGGATTTAGCTCAGTGGTTCAGTGGCCTGCCTTGCAAGTGCAAGGACCTGAGTTCGATCCCCAGTACCAAAAAAATAAAATAAAATAAAAATAAATAAATAAAACACTAGGCTATGTGCTTTTTTAAAAATTTAATTTATTGGTACATTCTAGGTAGACAGTACGGTTACTTTCATCATTGGGATCTTGTACCTCTACATGCCAGGTCTTGGTTCTCATTTCTCCCCTTGTCCCTGCCCTCCCTTCACCCCATTCTGTGATTTTCTATAGCACATGATGAATGCCTATGACAGTGTCACCTTACCAAATCAACAATAAGGAAAAAGACTGAACATTCAACTAAGTGATATTTTGCCATAAATTATTTCTTAAAAATTATATTCACCTTCAAATTACAAATATGTTTTTAGAACATTATTATGAATGTGAAAGGGAATTCCATATGAGGAATTTCAAACTCCAAACCCCATCTCTAGCAGACTGCATATTCTACAATATGAATCTTTCAAGTTCATTTCCCTTTTCAAGGGTCTTGGTAGCTGCCTTTTGCACTTAGAAAATGGTGTGAACTGGAAGTCTCTGCTTTTTCTGACTCCTGGATCCTTGGCTATCCACACTCGCTCTTATTTTATTTAGTCATAGAAACTTTTCATGGCTGCTTGAGCACGTCAAGCTTGTTCCTGTTCCAGGGCTTCAGTGTTGCTTTTCTTTCTCTGCAAGGGACACTTTTCTTCACAGGGCTCTTAACCTCCATTTCCTTCAAGTCCCAGCTCTATTGTCCCTTCGCCAGAGTTCGTCCTTCACAGCCTATCTGAAATCATCCCACTCTCACTCTGCCACTATTTTCTTCTCCTTGGTCTTTCTTTGCTACCAGAGATCGAACATGGTCCTTGCGCTTGGGAGGCAGGCTGCGGAACCACTGAGCTAAATCCCCGGCCCTCCTTGGTCTTTCTTAATGCTTATAAATTCTCTGGAAGTTACCTGGCTGATTTGTTTAGTATCACTCTCCATTGCAATAAGCAATTTAAAAGGGTACAGGCTATTAACTGATGTGTTCTGAGCAGGTAGACTCAAGCACACAGTAGGTTCTTAACCTGAAGTCTTGTAAAAAATAAACACATGGCTAATGAAATAACACGCACTTATTAAGTATTGTGATGGAACAGTATGAATTCACCTGAATTAATTCCAGAGGGAGTATTAATTATCCAATTTGAGTGACAGTTACACCTTATACTTTCAAATATTTTAGCTTTTCAGGGAAGTATATATGCTACACTGAATACTTCGTGGAAATACTCCTTAGTATTGAATAATAGCATTAAAGTCTGTTTTCATCAAATATATCAAAATATATGCAGCTTAATTTTTGTAAAATAAAGATTTCACATTCAAAACTCAAATGGATTTTACCAATGGATTGCTCAAATCCACACAGGGTTATAATAGAAAGCCATGGAAAGTTTCATTTTGTTTCACTTCTAATTAAAATTGGAGAGTTATATTCTGTAGGTGATATTCTTATGTAATCAAATGTATCTAAAACGTTATCACTTTCAAATAACAAATTTTATATATTTATAAGTTTATTTTTATTTTTGTTTATGTATGTATGTATGTATGTATGTATGTATGTATTTATTTATTTATTTATTTATTTATTTATTTTACGTACCGGGGATCGAACTTGGGTCCTTGTGCTTGAAAGCAGGCAGCAGAGCCACTGAGCTAAATCCCCGGCCCTATGTTTATAAGTTTATTACAAAACTACTTACAAGTCTAAAATTTACACAAATGCATTAGCTGTGGTTATATTCAATTGTCCTGTGTGCAATCTTCTTGTGATCTTTCTTTAAGATGTTATTTACATTGCAATTTTTTAACTTAGTCATCTCTTTCTGGTAAACCATGTTAACAAATATGTATGTGAATGTGCCTTTGTATCTGTGAAATATACGTACAAGCACACGCACACCACTGAAGTGTTTGTCAAAAATCTAATAAACATTATTGCACATTCTATTGATCTGAATGCATACATGCATATAAATTTACATAGTCATTGTTTATGTGTAACCATACATATATCTTATACCGTGCATGCACAATTCACTCAAAAATTAAAAGTATAGTGTTTTCATTGACTTGTAAACATTGAGGTAATATTCTGCATATTTTTCTGTACTTTCTAGTCTTTTTTAGGTTAGGTTACCTTGTGGAAATTCTTTCCAGTCTTTTGGTATAACTAATTTGTTATTTGAATCCATAGTATGGTATGCAGCAAGTCATATGGCTACTTCCAAAGGGATGAATATCCTTGGATTTTTTCCAATAACATATTTTATAGCCTTTCAAAAAATCCTAGATCTTTTTGTTTCAACTGTGGAATAGATGAGTTTATTAAGTGCCAGAATTATTTTTCTGTATTATTAAGTGTTCTCAGCTATTTGTTAAATGACTTTAGTGGATAAATTATCTACTTTATTATGAGAGTCTTTATTGTGTTTGTGTTTGCATGCAGAGCAGGGACTACTGATTTTTTAATTTTCCCAGTTCTGTTCCTATAAACTAATATTCACTTCGCTTTAATTTGCGTTTCTCTGACTCTTAATGAATCTGGATACTTTTACGTACATTTTGCTTTTTAACAGCCTATACATGTCCATTGACCACATTTTTTCCCTAGAAGGTTATCAGCATTAGCAAGGAGTATCGGTTATCAAACATATAAATTCTTTGTCATGTGTTGTTTTTTTTCTTTTTTCTTTTTTTTTTCTTTTTTTTTTTTTTTTATGTTTTTTTTTTTTTTTTTTTTTTTTTTTTTTTTTTTTTTTTTTTTTTTTGGTACCGGGAATTGAACTCAGGTCCTTGCACTTGCAAGGCAGGCCACCGAACCGTTGAGCTAAATCCCTGGCTGTCATGTGTTTTAAAAATATATTCAAAGAAACGTTTTTGATTCCACAAATTTGGAATAGCTATATCTGACCAGATCCTCTACCTTCCAGTTAAGAAATCCCAGATGCAGCTCACAAAACAAGCATAATGAAACTTTGAAAGTGTAATTAAATAAATAGACTCACAAGAGACTTTGTGGCTTGAATAGCCCTACTTGCTGAGGTTTTTTTACTGCCTCCCTTGTATCCTGCATAGGGCAGTGCAGACATATCTGAAGCATAATTGCAGACAGCAACAAAGGCAAAAACCCAAGAAATGATTGGCTCAACAATAGGGAACATATTTTCAATGCTTCCCCTATTCTAGTAAAAAACAAACAGGCAAATAGCAACAATCTGCTCTCCATCCCCTCATATCATTTGGATTTAACAGGAAAGACTGTGGACCTGATTTCCTATTCCCTACCTTGCTGAAGCTAGCAGTGTTCATATCTCTAGGTCAAGCTCACCAGGAAGTTAGCCATTGATTCCATACTTAAAGGAATCAGACTACTATTCTCCCATAGGATAGTGCAGCTAGGTCCAGCAGAGAGCTGATGGTCCATCCACAGATTGGCAGAGTAGGCACATTTTACTGATGATCTGATTACTCTGTCAGGGCAATGTCAGTAGAGTCTGCTGGTGAGGTAATCTGCTTTCACTATAGTAATAACACGCTGAGTGAATGATCCAAAGCAGGGATGGTTGGTATCCTGCTTCCTATACTCCAGATAAAGCCAGGATTCATGAATGTAAAATGATGCAGTCTCAGTTTGGTGATTTTACATATGCCTATGCTTCTACAATATATACACTATATGTATTTATAAATTTAACGTATGATCTGATAATTAAACTTATGTTGTATATCCACCAAACATGGAAATGATGATTCACTCCCATATTTGTATACCAATGTAATGGAGATATTTTTTCCTAAAGCAAAATTATAGAAATGTCCCCAGAGATTCAACTAACAGATTATCTATCTATCTATCTATCTATGTATCTATCAATCTATCTATAATGAGGCAGATTTTAGGCAAACTATCACTGCATATAGAAAGTCTCCAGGACTTCTCTGTCACTTCTGTCAACCCTGAAGGAAGGAGTAGAGTTGTGTTGAATACTGTACCACCTTCTTTTGGGGGATCGAGACTGCTGATACTCACAAGACGGGAGAAGGAGGAATCTAATGCCCAGCCTGACATTAAAAAGAACATCCTAGCAGAGAAGTGAAGAAACCTCTCACTCATGACAGAGGAAATTTAGAAAAAGTTTTAAGATTTAGCTTTAAGATTTAGAAATTTAGAAAAAAGGAGCTTTTGTTAGCAAACCTGGACATTTTTAAGAAGAATTTCCAGTCCGAGGCATACACTTTTACATACTTCCTTCGGACTCTAGGGGAAATGGGAATCATGGCCTGAGGGCTCCTCCCATTCAGGAAAACAGGAACTGGGGTTGTGGTCTGTACTCTGAGGTATCCCTCTGTGTCTCTAACATGGGCTTTGAGAACTAGAGGTGAGAGCCTTTTTCTGAGCCAGTGCTATCAGATCACAGAGCAAAGGAAGCCTAGACATGTGTCAGAGGTGAGGTACACACCCAGAATGTGTACCAAATTCCCTTTCCCCAGATCAAAGGGACCCACTGAACTCAACGCAATGCACCCTACTGCTAACCCTGGATCCTTGGGCTCTGCCAGCTGGTTACACCCTAGAGAAATTTGTCTTGCCTTATACTTTCCTAGGGACAGGCTAACCAGGACAGTGGGAGAATATTGAGAGTCCAATACATGGTCGAACCAGACTGGTAAGTTGTTTTATGTCAGAGGTATTTTGGGTGAGTTGTTCACCTGAGACTACTAATATTGTCCTTCTGTTCCATAGGTCTGTGGAATTTATCGCTCATACTCCTGCCTGCTACCTCTAGCACGCGTCATTATGCCTATATCTCCAAAGCGTCGACGCCTCAATCATGAAGTCCAGGGCTCATCTGAGAAAAGAGATGCGTATTCACAATTTCCCCCAACTGAGAGAGAGGATGAGGAGAATTCTGTTTCCTCTACCTCTTTCAACTTCAACTTTTCCCCTCCCTCCTTATCCTGTTCTTCCTCCTCCTCTTCCTCGGGCTCCAACACGCCTACTTCCTCTTCCCCACCCAATACTTCCCCTTCCACCCCCATTCTGACTCCAGAAGTTTCAGAAGAGGAGGAGGTGCCTGCTACAGTGGCCCAAACTACTAGCAAGAGTCCTTCCCAGAGTCCTCAGGACTCTCCTTCTGGGAGTAAATCTGATGAAAAATCCAATAAGCATGGAGAAGAGGAGGGGTCAAGCACCCTGAAGTCTTATAAGGACAGCAAGTCCTCCGACTGAGAGCTACGAGATGCTAAAATGCCTGGATTGCGCATGCCACCATGCTAAAGTATCCACTGAAGTAGCCCCTTATAGAAGTGAAAATAATTGTCATCGATGCTGTCACGTGAACCAGTTCCTGTGATCTCTGTGGCAGCTTCTGAGTTATTGGTAGTGATACCTGGCCTAGAAAGGAAGACATGGACCCTTCCATCTACTCCTATGCCCTTGTCAACTTACTATAACTCCCTGTGATATGATGGCGAGTAATGCACACAGCTAGCTAGAAGCAGTTTCCTGATAAATATCTCGGTACCTGGAAATTCCTGGATACAATGGGAGGATGCTCTTCGTCAATGGGGAGCCTAGAAAGTTCATGACCAGAGCCTGGGTGCAGAAAATTACCTGGAGCATCAGTAGGTACCTAAGAGCAATGTTTTGCACAAGTGTTTCTCGTGGGCTCCAAGAAAACGGGCCGAAAACATTAGGATGAGCTTCCTGCAATTTTGGGCCCAGAAACTACACTTCTTCCTAAAGCTACTCTGAGGAGACTTTGAGACATGAGGTCAAGGGCAGTCAGAATCCTAAGCAATGTCTGGTTGTAGAGATCACAGTACACAGCAACTTCATATTCCTGCTCTAAATAAGTGATCTGGCAATTTCTTTTAATTAAAAAAATTAATTGAAAGGTTAATCATCTTTAGAATTTAAGTTGTTTCTTTTTAACTAACATTATTAACATACTTATACTTTTTCAGGTTTAAGAATAAAACTTTTTTATTTTATTGAGTTTATTGGTACATTTTAGGTATACAGTACAGTTACATTCATCATTGGGATCTTGTACCTTTACATGACAGGTCTTGGTTCTCATTTTTTCCCTTGTCCCTCCCCATTTACAAACACTTTATTTCCATTTTTTCATATTCTCATATTTTTCCCTCATTAACTTTCCCCTACCCTTCCCACTCTCCCTACACCTTTAGCCCTTTTCTTCCTATTTCACATTGTCAATTATATCATTAGGATCTTATGTACTATTATAGCTTAAATAATAAAATTTTGATTGTTTCAAAAGCAAATGGGAAACGTTTTATCTTTGTGTGTGTGTGTGTGTGTGTGTGTGTATGTATGTTTGGGGGGGTTATACTCTGGGCATGGACCTGGAACCCTTTTGGGGCCTGCTGGAGGTGGGCATATGGTACTCCCTCCCGTAGTAGACTTACTCCATGCAGCCTGGGGCTGTGGAAGTGCTCTGAATCATACACAGGCAGTGGGATGGAGTGTGCATCTCAAGGAGGTAGAATTAAAGTGGGAATGACTAGGGACTGGTTACTTCAGTATCTGCAGATAAGGGGCTGGCACTGGGCCTATGTGTAAAAAAAATCATCCAGGTAGTATTTGTCCTCTGCTTAGGCCATCTTCTTGGATTCTAATCTCTTGGTACCCTAAAGGAAAGTTAGCATCTTGGTATGTTTATTGGCCTATGTCACTACTACATACCATCTGGGATACAAGATTGGTCAAGATGAATAAAAAAAAAAAGAAATAGAATTCCATTGACTAATTAGTTATTTGTGAAATAAACAAAGGATGCAAAATGACACTAACCAAGAGCTATCGTGTGCCATGATATTGAGAGTATTCTTAATGGAATTCTATTTTTCTTCCACAATTATGAAAAGCTCAAAAAGAGCTGGAACTCCACATGTTAAAAAAAAACATAGGATTTTGTGCTAATTGAACCTGTCCTTTCACTCATTTGTTCATGCTTTCATTTGGGAAATATTTACTAAGCATGTTAGAGGAAGAAAAGGAAACAAGTCAAAAGAAATTGACAAGACATTTACCCAAAACTTTGGGTGAGAGTAGGTGAGACAGAAAGATCTAGGCAATTTTAGAAAGTTAGGATCAAATGACGGAGGCCTGTGTAAATTCTGAAGATTGCTGACTTGATGGAAGCTGTTCCTCATTTCTGAGAAGGCAGACAAAAGAAAATGTCCTGGTGAAGGCTTAAGTTGTGATAGAGACAAGGAAGCGTCGGGCTGATGAGGAGTGAGCCATGTTGATGACAAAACTAAGTTAGCAATCCAGGTTTAGTCATTCAGTGGGCAGTAGGATCCATAGGTCCACCCTTCAGGACAGGGTCTGGGCCAAAGGCTAGGCTAGGGTAGGCTGCCTTAATAGCACATTGTGTGTCGTTTAGATGGATGTCTACATGCTACAAAATGACAACCCCAGCTCGTGTACTCAGAGTTGGCAGCCAAATTCACAAAAACATTGTACCCCTAAAGTACCCATAAAGAGAGCCACAAAGAGTAGAATGTTTCCCCTGACTCTCTTAAACTTATGCATAAGCACACACCCCTGCACACACACCCCCCTCCCAGTGGCTGTGCCTGTGTGCTTGTGGCTCATATTACATAAAAAGAGAGTGGTACATGGTGAACTTCCAAGCTCACTTCCCCCTTCTGTTTTCTCAGGTCAATTTTAGGGCTCCATCCTTGTCATTCTTTGCCTGAGACTGAACTTACAGGCCCCAATACCCAGACACCTTCTTCTGGAGCCCAGTGTGTCTGTTTTAGACAATTGTCAGCTCTTCAGTAAGTAGTTTCTGATGGCCAACAGAGCAAGGCAATCTTCAGGCCAGGTACTGGGGAGCCAGGATTCCATGATGCTTGTTGTGTCTGTGATTGAGAATGGGACCTCTTAATCTAACTGCAGCCCTCCAGAAATGGAAGATTTTACTAGGGGAATTAGACAAAGAAAATAATCAATATACCCAGGCTAGAAAGAAATAACATCTATGATTATGCATAAACAACATAGTTGTACTTAAAATATCCCTACGGAAAACATGAAAATTATACTAGAATTTATTTGTGGATTCAAACCATTTTCAGAATATCATAAATAAGTTGCTTTCATTTCTGCAAACCAGCAACAATCTAAAGTTGAAATTAAGAAAATGATTTGATTCACAAAGTATTAATAAGAAAAATACTTATGAGCAAATTTAGTAAAAGACATACATAATTTGTTCATAAAAAATTACAAAATTATTGTTTTTAGATAGTTGAAAGAAGACATAACCACAAGGAATGTTATTCCATGTTTATAGATTAGAAGTATTATTATTGTTTATATAGTAATACTTCCAAATTTGTCTACAGATTCAAAAAAATTACTATCTAAATCATTACTGGACATTTTTCAGAAATAGACAAGCTAATCTTGATACGTATGGGTAAATGCAGGGGACACTGAACCAGCAAAACAATTTTGAAATTAAAAAAATAAGTAACTCACTTATTTTAATTTCAAAACAAACCAAAAGGCTACAAAAATCAATATTTTGTGATAAATATTAGGACACACACATAAAAAAATTAAATGGAATTGAAATTCCAGAAACAATCCTGAGATTTATGGCCCAGTATTTTTTTTTCTGATAAGTCTACCAAGGCTATTCAATGGGGAAAGAATAAGATTTGCAGCAAACATTGTTTGGAGAATTGAATATACACATGAAGAGTGAATTTTTCTGTTACCATGTGCTAAATACAAAAATTATCTCTAAGTAGATCAAAGACTTACGTATAAAAGCCAAAACTGTACAAAATTTAAAGAAATATAAGAAAATGTAAGTGTAAACCTTCATGGCCTTTGATTATATTTTTCTACAAAAGTGAAATTGAGTAAACAGTTTTAAAAGTGTATTTCATAAAATTATATTATTTTGTACTTCAAAGGACTTGAATTGAAATGGAAAAAAATACAACAAATGGAGAAGACACTTTCAAATGTTTTGCCTCATGAGGATCTATTACCTGTATGAAAAAAACTAATAAGCCGAAGCAGCTTATATGCGCGTTAACAGATGAATTAATCAAAAAAAAATAACAGCACTTATGGAGTTCTATGCAGCCAAAAAGAAGGATAAATTTAAATCATTTGTAAAGAAAGGGGTGCATCTTGAGGTGACAATTTTAAGTGAAATAAATCAGAAACAGAAGGTTAAAAGTCGGGTGCCATCTCTTATAGGAGAATGTGTAAATAATTTAAAGAGTAAATTAAAAGACATGAGCATAAATAAGGTGTTAAGATTGTGAAGACGGGAAAGGGTTCTAGGAATGGGAGAGATAGGAAAGAAGTGTGGGGAAGTTAAAAGTATTAAGATACAATATGTGTATGTACCAATTCCCCACAATGAATCTATTCGTCATGTATCATGAACATGCACCAACAAAAAATTAAAGGCGAATAACTCAAATTAAAAATGGGCAAAGTATGTAAATAGACATTTCTCCAGAGAACATATTCCAATAGTCAGTGTTCATTAGGAGATGCTAACACTATTAGTGAGAAAAGGCCAATTTTAGCCCCGATGAGATACAACTTCATACTTGTAAGATGGTCATCATACAAAAGAAAGACAACCCCCGGTGCTGGCAAGTACACAGGGAAATTGGAACTCTCATGCTGTAACAAGGGCTTCTGTGAAATTATCCTTTGCTCCACTGTTTTTTTTTCTTTTTTATTGATACATTTTACATATGCAACAGTTACATTCATCATTAGGATCTTGACCCTTTACTTGATGTATCTTGGTTCTTGTTTTTCCTCTTTTCCCTGCTCCCCCTTCACCCCCTAAATCCTTCTCTATTTACAGAGACTTTGTTTCCATTTTTTTTCCTTTTCTTAGTGTTTCTTTTTCATTATTAGCTTTCCCCTACCCCTCCTACCTCCCCACCCCTTTAGAAGTTTTTTCCTATAACACAATATAAATTATACATTTTGATTCCTATTTACACTTATTTTCACACCAGAGAAACTATTCAGTATTTACACATGTGTCTTATTAATTTCACTTGAGAGTATGTCTTCAATATACACTCACTTAGCTATAAATGTCTCTAGATTCTTCTTCTTTATGGCTGAGTAATACTCCATTTACAAAAAAAACCCCACATCTTTATGCAATCTCCAGTTGATGGGCAATTAGGCTATTTCCAAGTTTTGGCTATTAAAAACTCTGCTGCTATAAACATGGATGAGCATGTATTACTCTGGTATAATTCTTTTAATTCTTTGCAGAAGATACCCAGCAGGGGAATAGCTGAGTCAAATGGGACTTCTAATCCTGGTTGTTTTAGGTATCTCCGTATTGATTTCCACAGTGGATGCACCTGTCTGCCCTCCCACCAACAATGAAGAAGGGTTCCTATCTCCCCACAACCCCACCATTGGTTGATTTCTTAATAGCAGTCATTCTTTCTGGAGTGAGATGAAATCTCCTTGTTGTTTTCATCTGCATCTCTCGAATGACCAGTGATGTTGAACATTCTTTTCACATGTTTATGTGCTGATTTTACTTCTTTGTTTGAGAAATGTCTTTTTATTTCTGTTTCCCATTTTTGAATCGGGTTTGTTAAATATGGGGGAGTCTAATTTTTTAGTTTTTTATATATTCTGGATAGTATACCTTTGTCTGAGGAACAGCTAGTAAAAAGTTTTTCCCACATTGTAGGTTGTCTCTTAGCTCTGTTGGTGGTTTCTCCTTCAGTGCAGAAGCTTTTTAATAAGATGAGATCCCAGTTGTTGATTCTTTGTGCTGGTCCCCGTACTGAGGATTTGTTCAATAAAGTCTTTTCTTATGCCAATGTCTTTGAGAGTTCTACCTATCTTCCAGCAAGTTTATGGTTTCTGTTTTAAATTTTAGTTTTTTAATCCACTTGGATTTTATTTTTATGCATGGTGAAAGATATGGGTAGAGTTTTAATCTTTGGTAAATTGAAATCCAA